AATATCCGTCATAGTTATGTCCGGCGACCGAGGAGCCCATGCGATCGGCCCTCGATGTTCAGTCCACTTTCCTGAGTATGTAACATTCAGCCAATGCCTGACGCACCCCATAGTACAGTGGAGCTCCGTTATGCAGAAGTCACAACCTATGGAAACACATCCTCAAGCAGCCCTGGTATAACAGTTTTTCAGTTAATCACGACATCATTAAGCAGTCAGTAGGCAGGGGCCCATGATAATGTCCACGTCAGTTCCAGCCCAAACACTGACGCCGAAGCAGAGTGGATGCCCACATGTTCGCGGATAGGATGAGGATTATCTCGTGCCCAGAGGTGACTGTTGTGGACGTTGAAAACACCCTCACGCACAGTGTAACGCGAAGTAACTCATTCGCATTGTGTGGATGTCGTAACCATTCTCAAATTTGCATCGTAGAGGACAATCGTATGGAAAGAGATGTTCGCTCCGCGAGTGGCGGCATGGATGTTAAATACCTCCGGGGACCGTCAGTTGGGATAACCCGAATTCTCACTTCTCCACTGCCCTAAGAAAGAGATGTTCGCTCCGTGAGTGGCGGCGAGATGTTCAGTACCCCCGGGGACCGTCAAGTTGGATACCCCGAATTCTCACTTCACCACGGCTCTCAGAAAGAGATGTTCGCTCCGCGAGTGGAGGCATGGATGTTAAGTACCTCCGGGGACCGTCAAGTTGGATACTCCGAATTCTCACTTCTCCACGCCTCTCAGAAAGAGATGTTCGCTCCGCTAGTGGCGGCATGGATGTTAAGTACCTCCGGGGACCGTCAAGTTGGATACCCCGAATTCTCACTTCACCACGGCTCTCAGAAAGAGATGTTCGCTCCGCGAGTGGCGGCATGGATGTTAAGTACCTCCGGGAACCGTCAGTTGGGATAACCCGAATTCTCACTTCTCCACGGCTCTCAGAAAGAGATGTTCGCTCCGCGAGTGGCGGCATGGATGTTAAGTACCTCCGGGGACCGTCAGTTGGGATAACCCGAATTCTCACTTCTCCACGGCTCTCAGAAAGAGATGTTCGCTCCGCGAGTGGCGGCATGGATGTTAAGTACCTCCGGGGACCGTCAGGTTGGATACCCCGAATTCTCACTTCACCACGGCTCTCAGAAAGAGATGTTCGCTCCGCGAGTGGCGGCATGGATGTTAAGTACCTCCGGGGACCGTCAAGTTGGATACCCCGAATTCTCACTTCACCACGGCTCTCAGAAAGAGATGTTCGCTCCGCGAGTGGCGGCATGGATGTTAAGTACCTCCGGGGACCGTCAAGTTGGATACCCCGAATTCTCACTTCACCACGGCTCTCAGAAAGAGATGTTCGCTCCGCGAGTGGCGGCATGGATGTTAAGTACCTCCGGGGACCGTCAGTTGGGATAACCCGAATTCTCACTTCTCCACGGCTCTCAGAGAGAGATGTTCGCTCCGCGAGTGGCGGCATGGATGTTAAGTACCTCCGGGGACCGTCAAGTTGGATACCCCGAATTCTCACTTCACCACGGCTCTCAGAAAGAGATGTTCGCTCCGCGAGTGGCGGCATGGATGTTAAGTACCTCCGGGGACCGTCAGTTGGGATAACCCGAATTCTCACTTCTCCACGGCTCTCAGAGAGAGATGTTCGCTCCGCGAGTGGCGGCATGGATGTTAAGTACCTCCGGGGACCGTCAGTTGGGATAACCCGAATTCTCACTTCTCCACGGCTCTCGGAAAGAGATGTTCGCTCCCCGAGTGGCGGCGAGATGTTCAGTGCCCCCGGGGACCGTCAGTTGGGATAACCCGAATTCTCGCTCCTTCACGCTCTCGTTCCACAGCTGCAGTTATGGTGTGGTCAGTGGCTAGTGCCCGTACAGTCCGTGGGCGACCGGCATTCACGTGTGCCCTAGGTGTTAACGATTCCTCAAGGAAACTCGGTTCTGACGAAAACGCATTAGCATGTTGATGACGTCGACCGAGGTAACGTAGCGTGTATTCCCGTGCATCAGTACCGGCTCGACTCTTACAGGTACCGAGGGTTAAGGGCATGTCGCAGTATTCGTTGTATATACCGTATTTACGCATGTATAGGCCGCAGCACAATTTTCAGACAGAAATTACAGAAAAAATAATTTTCTTGGAATATTATTTCAGGAGTAGAAATTATTCCGAAATTTGGCAACGTTTAACATTCCTAAGTTCGCAACTAGCGAAAATAACGGTACCGCTCGGAACAAAGGCATTGCGGGGGAGAGTTATAACCTTTTCGCCTTTACTTGACTTGCCTGGTTAGTTCTGAGTGAAACATGGGTCGAGTAAGAGCAGGTTATACGTCTAAATTTAAACTTCAAGTGGTGCGTTACGCACAAGAACACGGAAATCGAGCAGCAGGGAGAAAATTCGACGTTGACGAAAAAAATGTGTGTGATTTCGAATATTTCGAATATAAGCCGCACCCCAGTTTTCCTCTTGAATTTTTGGCAAAAAATGTGCGGCCTATACATGCGTAAATACGGTATATGCTGGGAATCACTGTGATCATTCGACCACGGCTGTTCCCACCTGTGCACTGCGTGCCTCGAGTACACCTCACAACGCGCTATGTATCGCCGTGGCAGGTAATATTGCCGAGAAGTATGTTACCCCATTTGTTAGTGACGTGCGATGAAAACAGGTATCTCGGTAGAGATGCAGGATGTTTCGACTTATCAAGAAGGAATCGCGCTATGAGGACGTGCACAATTTTTTCACGTTGTATTTTTGTATTAATCTTGGTGGGGTGGGACTGAGTCCACTTGGTACTGCGGCCACTATTGGCGTAATGTACCAGCCCCTGATGATAGATGGGGATTGTGAAGCAGTTGGTGGAATGAGAATTGGCAGTGGACACCGAAGTACCCGGAGAAAACCTGCCCCAGTGCCACTTTGTTCACCACAAATCCCATATGATTTAACCCTGGCTCGAACCCGGGCCGCCGGTGTGGGAAGCTAGCGACTAACCACCTGAGTTATAGCACGGCATTTTTCACTTCATATGTATATGTGTAAGTGTGTAAATAGGAGAGGGCATTGTGGACGGGGTGGTGGGGAGAGGCGCTACAGTTCTTAAGGGGAAATTGATAGAACGTTTCCGGCGCTAGAGGCAGTACCCGCTCGTCCTTCAAGCAAAGGAGCATTGGAGAGAACATGTAGTGGTGGGAAGTGAGGACGGCAAAACGATGAGAAATCCTGACCTGGGACTTTTAAAAAAATATGGGACAGATTTATCATGTACACCAGGGGTATACGGGGCACCTTGTAGCATAGTTGGTTGAGGCACTCTGCTACAAGCCGGAATGTCACGGTTTCGATTCCTGATGAGGCCATTGGATTTTTCAGTCGACTAATCCTTCGAACCGCACTGTGGTCCACAATTTGAGAAACCAGAATACAACACTTGTACAGTTGTACAGTAATAATGGTTCCGAACACCAACCCCCCCCCCAACTGCGGTTACTGTTCTCAGACTTGGCCTTATTTCCGTAAGTGAATCAAGTACACCAACTCCATGGACGGGAGGTCTTATTGGGAAGCTAATAGTTGTTCACGTAGTTAAGCAATTCCTAGAATTTTATGAAACCCGAAAGTTTATTGCCGTGTACATAAGAACCCGACACTAGTCCTGTCCTGAGCCAGATCTATCCAATCCATCCCATCCCATCCTATCTCTCTAAGATCCATTCTAATATTGTCCACCCACCTACGCCTTGGTCTTCCCTGTGGTCTCTTTCCTTCTGGTTTTACCGCCAATATCCTACACACATTCCTCGTCTCTCCCATTCGTACTACATGCCCTGCCCACCTCATCCTCCTTGACTTGATAATTCTAACTATACTTGGAGAAGAGTACAAGTTATGAAGCTCCTCATTATGCAGTTTTCTCCAGCCTCCTGTCACTTCACCTCTCTTCGGTTCAAATATTCTCAACACCCTGTTCAAACACCCTCAGTCTATCTTCCTCCCTTAATGGCAGAGACAAAGTTTCACACCCATACAAAACCACAGGCAAAATTTGAACAGACGAGACTGAAACCTTACAGAACCCATGAAGAATCTGTCACGTCATACGTTGTGTTCTCTTGTTTTTGGAATACCAGACGATGGGTAAAGTCCAAAAGACAGGTAATTCCGACTGTTACACACCGTCGTCAGAACCCTTTATAATCTGATCGCCGTTATATTTCACTACTGATATGCAAAGGAGCGTCGGAAGGGATCGTCGTGGGTAAACAAATTCGAACACTTGATATTCGAAAGACTTTATTTCTAACAGGGTTTTCCCTCTTTACAATTTACTGTTTAATGCCCGGTAACTGAGGTCGTCCGTGCCCGGGGACTTCACGGGTTTTCTGTATACAGTAAACCCTCGCTAATCCGGATCGAAATATGAAAAACGCTGCTCACAGTTGAGTACATACTTAAAAGGCTCATGGGATTTAGGAAGGCAGATGAGTCACTTGTCTGTTAAGACAAAACTTGACAGTTTTTTCAGACCTGCAAATTATTACGTTCAAAACCAAGTACAACTTCTGTATCCTCTATCGATGAATAAATGTATTGCCTTTCTATAGTTTTTAAATAAAGGTTCTTCAGTAATATTTTTTAATTATTTTTGTCAGCACTACTTAGATATCATTAAAGTTTCCATTTATTTCTGTTCTCTTTTTTATCTTTTAGGGCTACACTGTGCTTCACTAATCCGGATTGTCGCTTCATCGTGTTATCTCCCCCCGCAGTTACTCTGGATTAGCGAGGGTTTGCCATAATTGCAGTAGTTTTTTCCTCTTTCCAGTTTTCTGTTCAGTGCCACATAACCGAGGACGTCTGGGGGATTCTGTATATATATATATGTTTCCCCGGAACGACTCAACCTGTTGCTTTGCGGACTGGCGCTAGTGTTCTCCACCCGGAGGTCTGTGACAGGCATCGGTTCACCACGGCTTTGCTTTCTGTTGGCAGGAGGGAGACGAACCTACCGGGTAGGCTGAGTGGCGCCTGCGACGCCATGGAATTGGAGCCCCTCGAGCCCGCCGTGAGTAAATAACACATTCACAGAATTTCGGTGGGAATCCCCTCTTGCCATTGTGACACCGGGGATTTGGAGGGTGAGAGCTGGCTATCGTTAGCGCTCCTGTAACCGGTTTCTGGGGTGATGCATGGAGACGCATGAGCGAAACATAGCGTCGCGGGTGAGCGATTTTTAAGCGAGACGCCCTGTGTATGGTAGTAGGGATGGAAGCGCGGTATTGTCGGGAACCGTATCAGGACCCAAGCAGTCATACAGAAGAAGATTCATTTTAATATTGTTGTTGAAGACCAAGGTAGTGTTTGATTTAAGAGCCAGATTTCACAAGCAAGCTTACTTTCTCATATACATAATGTTTACGAGAATCAGCCCCCCCACCCCCATCCACCGATTATGAAAAGTGGTTTTGGAATATCACCTGCATATACTTACATGCACCTCGACGGCTGGACGGATTGCATTCATAATCTGTATTTAAGAGTTTAACCGCCATAGATCATTCTTCGTTCCCCTGAAACGTCGGTATATGACACGGCACGGAGCCCCATAAAACAGTAATTTTGTTTGAAAGGTTTCTTCAGAATCCGCAGGAAATTGCTGGCCTCGTGCATTAGGCCTGCCCCAGCTGTGCATTAAGAATGAACATCTCCTCAGAAGCTTCCAGCCTAAACCAAAATGGCGTCAGGATAGGCATGCCCTTGTCACCTGTCACACGTGTTCCGGTTAACCTGTTTGTCTGTCTGGGTTCTTGAAGGAAATGCCAGGTTCTGGCCATAGTCGTATTAACCCTGTGTATGCGCCTGGGCTCAAGAAAGAACGGATTTTGCGTTGCATATTTGCATTGAAATGTGTGTAACAGTTCTTGAAAGGATTACTACCTCAAACAAAAGTCTGTTGTTAAAGTACTTATTTCAAATTATGTAAGAACTGCGTAATGAGGAGCTTCATAACTTGTACTCTTCTCCAGGTATAATTAGAACGATTAAGTCAAGGATGAGGTGGGCAGGCCATGTAGCACGAATTGGGGAGACGATATAGGATATTGGTTGGAAAGGCAGAAGGAAAGAGACCACAGGGAAGACCAAGGTGTAGGTGGGTGGACAATATTAGAATGGATCTTCGAGAGATAGAATGGGATGGTATGGATTGGATAGATCTGGCTCATGATAGGGACCAGTGGAGGGCTCTTGTGAACACGGTAATGAACTTTCGGGTTCCATAAAATGCTGGGAAATTCTTGAGTAGCTGCAGAATTTGCGGCTCCTCCAGAAGGGCTCAGCTCCATGAGTAAGTAAGTAAGTAGGAAGGTATGTGTGGACTGCATTTATTTGGCGCAGGATGGAGACCAAGGATGGGCTCTTGTGGAAATGAGAATGAACCTTCCTGTTCGATAAAAGTCGGGGAGTCTGCTGAACGGATGAGCGCCTGTTTGTCAGAAGGGCTCTGCTGCATGTTCTCGAGCAGGTGCATGTTTTACTTGGCGACGGCTCTACGTCCGAAACTGGTGATTAGCGCCATTGATGTGACGAAGAGCACAGTCAACGAAATAGTGATTCATGTGACCCCATTGTAATAAGCGTACTGAGCGGCCTCTGAGCAAAATTAGGCAAAGTTTCCCGCCCAAGTAGTTTCCAGTGCCTCCGGTAGATGGGGAAGTATCGGGTACCACCGCCAGAAGATAGCCGACCTCGCTGGCAGAATGGGGCTGATAGCGAGCACCAGTACTGGAAGGGTATGGCGACAGTAGAAATTAAAGGGGGACGCACAGTGGACCAATAACTGGTCCAAGTGCATGGGGAAACCCACTCCCTCTAATAATGAATGAATGAATGAATAAGCATAGTAGCTTCTTACGTAACCTATCTGCTGTTACAGCCGCTTGCGAGTTACAATGCATGGATTTTAGGAGCAGAGTACAGCTTGTTACGAGGGTCATTTTTAAAGTAAGAACCGTTTTGTTATGAACAAACAAATTTCAAATAATTTTAATGTCACTACTAGATACATCATATTTATTTTTCTGTGTAGCCTCCATTGCGTTTCAGGCGTCTGTCCAGACGTTGCACAAGTTTGACAATCCCCTATTCATAGAAGTCATCCGCCATTCCATGTAACCAATCCGTAACTGTTTCTTTCATTTCTGTTTCACCCATCTGTCACACTTCCGTATCGGAGTTGAACTCTGACAGTCCCGTAGAGGTCAGATCGCAGAACTTCATGAAGCTCATCAGTAGTGAATCCCCGTTGTCACGGAACGTGAGCATCAGCCGTGTCTTGCAGATCCTCGGTGATGACAGGCGGGCTTTCAGATCGCTCTTTATTGTGCATATTTGTCCTTCCCCCATTAAACAAACGACACTTAGTGCACGTTCCCCATACACTTCGACAAGTTGGCGATGGTTTTCGGCAGGGCAAGTCTTTTTCTCATTCAAAAATGGAAACGCCGAACTCGCCTCACAGTCGGCTGGAGTAGTGATTGACATGGTTCTTTATAATACTTTGACACAACCAATTCATTCGGTAGCTCGGCAAACACTGGGGACATGGCAGAGGGGCAGACGACAGCTCTCGACCTTTAAAAACCTCCGGTGAATGACCTGCGCGGTCAGGGTGCGCAGATGTATGTGTAGCGGTTGAAACGTTCAGGTACTGACCATACTGTTTTTTTTTATTGTTATTGTACCGTTTGTCCCAATTTAAAATCGTACTTATTCATTTTATTGTTTTGCCGTGTGTTTTGAGTTTGGTTATATAGGCTAAGGCGGCCCATACACTTGCGAGTCCGGGTCGGGGGCGAGCCGGGCTCGGATTAATTTCAGCACACACGTATGAACATGGCGACGCACACACGGCTCATTGGAACCCGAGCCGAGTCGGACTCGCGAGCCAGACTCGTCCCCTAACATTGCCTTGGAAGGTGACCCGTCTCTAAACTCACTTATCCCACACTCACCCCTATCCCATCCCCCCACGCAAGTCAGATCTCAGCAGGGTTAAGAGATAATCCACGGATGGGGTGCTCCAGCTACGCTCGAGGCAGGGAGAGAATGGACGCGGCTGGTGTGAGCGTAATAGCGAGCCTTGATTGCACACTGCGCCGAGACAGCACTAATAACAGAGAGCCCGTAAACAAAACTAAAGCGAGATTGCAACTGACAACTGGCGGGAAGGCACGCAGAACGAAAGTGGCTGCTGGACAGACATGTTTGAGAAAATCTTGTGTTCATTCTTTCCCTGACCCAGCTTCAGTTCTGTAACCAATAGTGCCTATCGTTCCTTCTCCCATCCCAGCACCAACAAAATGCCATTAGACACTGGGTTTAAATTGGTGATTGGATTTATTGGACTCTCACAAACCTTAACTACAAATAATTTATAATGTTCTCATTAATATACGCAGTCAGCAAATCTCTGTAGCAGGTAATATAGTCTTCTGTATCTTTACTAGGCGTTGCCTGGCGACAGCTCCCAACAGTCAGATTCCTCAGCTTCTGTGTTCACGTTTTGATCGTTTAACGACTGTCTCATAGCTCTTCGTGGCCGGAACTCCTGGCCGCATACGGCCACCACTGGTTGCCACTCGTGTGCCTATTCTCGAACAATTCTTCCTTTGTCGCACGCGTATTTCTTGCATTGAGAACGTGTTTACAGAGCCATTGCCTAGCAGCGGGCGTCTCTTGGTCAAACCATTCCGGCATTCAGAGGACATGTCATAATATTATACTAGTATAACAGTCCCAACAAGGACAAAGTCGCGGTTGTGTTTATTGTGTAGGGTATTTATGTCCTGAGTTCTGACAGCCGTCAGCAGGGGGCGCGGGAGTAATGGCGTTCCCATATCATGTTGATTTATTTACTTCTGGGCCCCCAAGTGCTGATACCAACGGCAGGTAGTCAGTAGGTGGCGGGAACTTTTCGTGTTTTCATATCGTGCTGATTCATAGCTTTAAATGGTATCTTGATCCGTGGCCTAAAGTTTCTGGCAAGACGGCCATTTCTTTTCCCCTGTCGTTCCGGGCATTTTATCGGGACCTCGATATCTTGTCGCCGTATTCTGACCGGCTTAGCCCGTTTGTGACGTCGTTCCTCCCCGCTGAATGCAGCCGAAAGGTGAACTTCACCACTCATCAGCAGGTCCAGACGTTTATCGTTGCATGGCATGATCCGGCCTGCTGAAGAGTGAACTGATTTTGTTACGCTAATTTTTTGCGCCCTGGTCTGTATGTTAAGGCGAAGGCCCTACGAGCTCTTTGTTTCCGGTGTCCGTGTGCGGACACGAATGTTACGGATGAGGAGCAGTGACGTAGTGTGCGACACGGACGAGTTCTTTTACGTCCCCTACAAAAACAACAAAAAAACTCCGTATTTTTTTAGTCCGCAAGGGACTGTATCAACCGAGCGACCGTCGCTTGTCGGCGAAGTTAGTATGAACTTTAGCGGATAGGGGGTGTCGCGTGGTCAGCGCAACGAATCCCCGCGGCCGTTAATTTCGGTTTTCTAGACTGGAGCCGCTTTTTCCTTGAAATAGCTCCTCGATTATCCTCACGAGGTTGAGTGGACCCCGTCCCTGACTCACTACTTCTCAGAAAATCTGGTAGCGCCGGGAATCGAACCCGGACATCTGTTTCTGTAGCCAAGAACTCTGACCACTAGATCACAGAGGCGGTATATTTACGTCCCCTGCACGATTAAACATCCTGACGCCGTAGCAATCACCGCAAGTGCAGAAATTAAACTATTTCATAGTTGCAGTTTTTGTCCGTATATCTGTACAGGAGTCGATGAAGGTTGCATCCAAAATTTGTGAAAGAAATGAAACGATTTGACATCCTTTATACACAACTAAGGAGTACATTTCGGTCGCATTTTATGCAAATTTGAAGTAATAATGAGCCGGGATAGCTCAGTCGGTATAGCGACTAGCTACTGGCTGGACGACCCAGGGGGCGGAGTTCGAGTCCCGGCGGGGTCAAGAATTTTCACTTCTCCATGTCATTCAGGCGGGC